GTGCCTGTGAGGAGGATTGGGGAGAGGAAAGTTGTTGGGGAAAATGAAAGGGAAAGGACCTTTAGAAGGAGGGTCTTTGCTGGACCCTGAGTTGCAGGGTCCCACGTGGGACAGAAATCCAGATCGGAGGCTTAGGGGCAGGGGCGCCCCCTGGAGGCAGAAGGAGGGTGCACCCCAGGTACCCCGGAGATGAGTCCCCCAAAGGAGTTCAGGTGAGGTGAAGAGAGCAGGCCACCTGTTGGCCCCAGAGTGCATTGGCCGGTAGGTTCTTGGGGTCCAGGCTTATCTGCCCCCAACCCTGGAGCCCTCTGGAGTGGGGAGTGGGGGCCCCTGGCGCCTAGAACTCGCCCAGCCTGGCTCCTAGCCAACCCAGCCCTGGCCCTGCGTGAGCTCATCTCCCGCCTGAGCCCCCGCCTGCTACCACTCCCTCTCTCCTCCCTCCTTCCTTCACTCCCTCCCGGCCCAGCCCCAATGCGACCGTGCCAGGCGCCGTGCCCAGGCGGGTGCCAAGCCCCTGGAGGCACAGGAGGGGCCTGTGAAGGGGGGGGTGCTGACCTCGGCAGGACCCTGATGTCCTCAGCTCCTCATTCCTCCAGGGGCATGGAGTTGGCCATACCCATCTAGCAGTGGCCCCAGGCCCAGTGTGGGGGTCCTTGGGGAGCTGGGCTGGGGCCTGCACTGAAGCCAGGAGAAGGAAGGGAAATACTCCTGATGGCTGGAAAATGCCCCCAGACCCGGTTGGGTTACCTCCCTCCCTCCCCGCCTCCCCTGCCCCCCAGCAGAGATCTTTCCTATTTTGGAATCTTGATTCCTAGTTAAGGCTCTCCTTGGCTTGCCACTCAGTTAAGAACCTCTGTTAGTGCACTCTGCCGTCCTGGCCTGACTCCCCTAGCCAGAGGAACCCGGAGTCTCTGCTCTCAGACCCTGAGTCCCACCCCATTCTTATCCATATAATTCAGAGACCGGCCCTTCCAGTGTTTCCCTGCCTTCTTCTGATATAACCCCGTCCCCCCCCCCCAAAAAAACCTGTACCCCTCACCAGAGAACTCTGCAATAATGTCCTTGGCTATTCCCCCCCCCCCAATGCCTGGAGAAATCCCAGATTACAAGCCCTATAGAGCCCTATGCGCCTGTGACAGCTCTCAAATCTATTTCTCTCTCCACAAGACTCCCATTTTCTCATGCTTCCAACTGAGCCGCATTAGAGATTCCCAGTTCCTGTCTAACTCCTGCTCTTCCAGCTCACCAGGAACTTCTGGGTCTGTCTATCTTCAGAGAACCCTTGAGTTGGTCCTGATCAGCTGATTGTCCTGGGAGGGCTCCCCCCTTGCAGCCATTAACCAAACACAAGGCACTGTCCTTCCACTGGGAGAGGAGGGCGGTTTCCTCCGCATTTTAGGGTCTTCCTAGACAGGCTTTCATGTGCCGGGACTCCCCTGAATTTTGCTTCTCTAAACTTAGCAGGTACTAGAGTGGTTTTGCAGATAACTCTCCGAAAGGCCCCGCGGCAGCGTTTCCTCTGAGCTAGGCTTCCTTTCCACTCCACCATGAACCACCTTTGAACCCCAGAGTTCTGTCCACTAGCCGACCTCTCACGAGTCCGGTTTCTTTACCTTTCTAACTGAGGGGCTCCTTCTATGCTTTCCTCTCTAGTCGTGTCTCAGGGTCCCAGACACGCCTTCCTGGACGGCTCCGGCCGCCAGCCCCCTTCCTCCCCTCAGTACAGCTGTTTCCAGCTGTTCTCGCCAGCCCCGGGGGAGGTGGGGGGGGGGTTGCCCTCGCAGGACACGTCCGGCCTCCTTTGGCTCAGCGGGTCCGGGGCTCCCCAAGGGTCCGGAATGCGGAGCCACCGCCCTACCCCCGCCGCACCCCTTTCTTTGTTTACCCCGCCACACAGCTGGCAGTTCCCCGCCCAGAGGTGGCCTGGGGCCCAGCGGGGGCGCGCAGAGGGGAGAAGAGGCGCGTTCCCGTTCGTGGCGCCGCCCCGGGGCTACCGGAGGCGGGAAGGCCGGGCTAGAACTCTGCAGCCAGCGCCTGCGGGGAGGGGGGTGGAGACAAAGCTCGGCGGGCTGCGAGCCCTAGACGTCGGCCGGTGGGGCGCGAGGCCTGCGAGCGCCCGGGTCTGGGCAAATCAGCGCGGGGAAAGGTGGCGGGGCGGGGCTCGAGGCCGCAGGTTAAGCGCCCGAACGCCGGGTTTGGGATCCCGCCGTCGGGATGTGGGCGGGGCGCGGG